TTCTATTTCTGTCTGTACCTCTGTAACTGCACAGAAGGTGATGTGAAGTGTGAGGAAATATTAGCTCCTCCGAGAACACCTGTTGCTTTCTTCCTGACTTGAGGTCTTTTAACACTCCAGTGAAATTTTTGAAAGTATGTTTTGTGAGAAAGAGAGATAGAGACAGAGACAGAGCATGAGCAGGGGGAGGGGCAAAGAGAGAGGGAGACACAGAATCCGAAGCAGGCTCCGGGCTCTGAGCTGTCTGCACAAAGCCCAACGCGGGGCTCGAACCCATGAACTGTGAGATCATGACCTGAGCCGAAGTCGGATGCTCAACCGACTGAGCCACCCAGGCGCCCTGGACATTTTTTATTAATCAAAATTTTGATTAATCACATTGTTCTCTAGTAAATGCTAGAGATCATAAATATGGCTTTTAACATGCAAACAGCAGCTGGAGAAACCCCAGATAGAAGTGTGGTCTTGCAGTGCTCTGTTTCTCATGGCTGCACTGTCAGCAGACTGGAGGAAGTTGGGTCAATAATTAGTGTCATAATTATCATTACCATCCTCTGCCCATGAATTAACAGTAATGAGAGAATATCCTGCTTTGGATGAAAGGAGCTTTCAAACTAAAAAGATAGGGAGGAAGACAGGAAGAAACACCCCTCTTCCTGCATCATGGAGAAAACTAAGAGCTAAATATTCCAGGAACATTTTAAGGGGTATGGGGAAGGGTTCCAAGCAGGACAGATGACAATGGAGAGGGGACACTGGGGACACTTACTCATCCCGAGATTTGCCCCTGGGAATCCAGGTCCCAAAGCCTTCCTCAACTGGTGCTTCCCTTGGCAAATAGTGTAACACCATGTGTGAGACTTAGAAAAACCAAGTTTCCGTGGGGCACAAGAAATGACGGAGAATTTCCCTTTGCTTGCGTTTTGTCTGGGCCCGGGTAGCAGATTTAGAGTGGGATTGAGTGAGCAGAGAAACCGGAGTAGGAGGTGGGGGTAGGAGTGTCTCCAGGGAGCCATGACTCATTCTCTGATCTTGAAAAAGGAGAGGATAAAGAATGACAGAAGAGGTCCTCAAAGAACCTTAAAAAATTTATTGGCATTTGTGCAGACACTTCTTTCAAAGCACTTGAATTTCTATGCTCTCATTTAATCTTCACCCTGTGAAACTCCTGAAAGTTGTCCTAGTCTGCAGATCCACCTTGGGAGTTCTGGGGGGGGGGGGCCATGTAAGACTTCGGAAGGGCAGGGGTGCTGCTCAATTTAGAGACTGCACCGCCCAAAACACATGGAAATGAACCCTGGAGCCAGACTGAATGTAATTCATGCAAAACCAACGAATAGCTGACTGGAGTCGCAATCGATTAGCTGCCTCGTGTTACATTTGATAGACGTTTAAATATGTATTTATATTGATTTTTTTTTTTTAATATTTAGAGCGCATGTGTTTCCCCTGGTTGCTAACACTACAGTAGGTCCTCTAAAAGCTTGTCAACCTTAGTCACCTCCGCCGAAGTGCCCTGTGGGTAAAAGGTCCTAGAGTCTAACATGTCAGGCAAGACAGGCTTCTAAAGTCCCAAAAGAATGTCCTGGCAGAACGTGACAAAGTGTGGGACGTATGGTTGCAACATCACACTTTGAAAACTTATTTTAGACAAACAAACAAAATGGGGCAGTTGGTGAAATGAGTGGAGGCTGGGAGGTGAGGTGCCAGGGCTCTGGGTATGGTAGTGGGTGAAAGTGCTCGAAGAGCTTCCAACCAACCCCTAGGGAACTTCTCCAGAATCCCTTGGAAGTGACACAGCTTCCTTCTCCCGAAGGTGAGAAAAAAAGTCGTCTCCCTTTTGACTCACAGAGATGTGGAGCAGATCCAATTACCACCGTGTTGATGGTTGGTTGAAGGTGGTTGGTTGGTGGTTGGTTGAAGGTGGTTGAAGGTGATTGAAGGACAGAGGGGCCGGAGGCTCTCAGCCTCCTGCTCCGTCATTAGGTTTGTGACATTTCTTCACTCTGCTTTCAGATCCTGGCTGCTCTGTGTAGTTCCCGTGCTGGATCCCGGAGCGTGCTTGCCTTTTCCCCGGGAGGCCTCCAGAAGCAGTCTTGCAGCATTATTTCTACCATTAATTATTTTTCTTTCAATCCACATGGCAGGTCTCACCCTATAAGAGAGAGAGAGAGAGACTCTCACATAGATGGGATCTAGACCTGCCGGGGAGAAATATACAACATGAACAAAGTGAAATGGAAATGGGAATCTACAGCTCCAGAACCCTGAGTATTTTTGTTTTGTTTTCTCTTTTTAAAAATAATCATTTTTGGGGTGCCTGGGTGGCGCAGTCGGTTAAGCATCCGACTTCAGCCAGGTCACGATCTCGCGGTCCGTGAGTTCGAGCCCCGCGTCGGGCTCTGGGCTGATGGCTCAGAGCCTGGAGCCTGTTTCCGATTCTGTGTCTCCCTCTCTCTCTGCCCCTCCCCCGTTCATGCTCTGTCTCTCTCTGTCCCAAAAATAAATAAAAAACGTTGAAAAAAAAATTTAAAAATAATCATTTTTGAGCTATACGTTCTACATCCATAGGCTCCAAAGCCAGGCAATGTTTGATGATTTTGATGCTGTCCTAAAAGGAATTTATTTTAATTTTTTTAATGTTTATTTTTGAGAGACAGAGAGAGACAGAGAGACAGAGACAAGGGGGAGTAGGAGAAGGGCAAAGAGACAGGAAGACACAGAATCTGAGTCAGGCCCCAGGGTCTGAGCTGTCAGCACAAACTGTGAGATCATGATCTGAGCCGAAGTTGGACACTTAACTGACTGAGCCACCCAGGTGTCCCTAAGTGGCATTTATTTTGAAATTTTGTTTTGAAAGTGTTTATTTATTTATTTTGAGAGAGAGAGAATGCGCACTTGTGCAGGAGGGACAGAGAGAGAGGGAGAGAGAGAATCTCAAGCAGGCTTTGTACTGTCAGCACAGAGCCCGTGAGATCATGACCTGAGCCAAAATCAAGAATCAGACACTTAACTGACTGGGCCTCCCAGACATCCCTAAAATTTCATTTTTTATTAGCATGTTGCTCCTATGTGGAAATACAATTGATTTTTTTTCAGTTTTATTTATTTATTTTGAGAGAGAGAGACAGCATAAGTGGGGAAGGGGCAAAGAGAGAGGGGGACAGAGAATCCCAAGCAGGCTCCTTGCTGACAGCAGAGAGCCTGATGTGGGGCTCGAACTCATGAACAGTGAGGTCATGACCTGAGTCATAGTCAGATGCTCAACCAACTGAGCCACCCAGGTGCCCCAAAATACAATTGATTTTTAAACGGACTTTTTTCTCATGGTTTCGAATAAATTCATTATTTTTTTTTTAAATTTTTTTTTCAACGCTTTTTATTTATTTATTTTTTGGGGGGACAGAGAGAGACAGAGCATGAACGGGGGAGGGGCAGAGAGAGAGGGAGACACAGAATCGGAAACAGGCTCCAGGCTCCGAGCCATCAGCCCAGAGCCCGACGCGGGGCTCGAACTCACGGACCGCGAGATCGTGACCTGGCTGAAGTCGGATGCTTAACCGACTGCGCCACCCAGGCGCCCCTCGAATAAATTCATTATTAATAGTTAATGTATAGATTCTTCTGAATTTTCTAAGCACACAATCATATTCTCCGTGAATAATAACAGCTTTATGTTTTCCTTTCCAATCCTTATAGTTGCTACTTCCTTCTCCTTTACCGAACTCCCTTTGACCCCAGGTTCATTTTTGATACAAATGGAGCTCCTGGGCAACTTTGTTTTCTCTGCAACTTGCGGGGGGGAAAAGCATCCAACGTTTCACATTTGAATGTACTGTTTGGTGTAGGTTTTGTACATATTCTGTATCAGAGCCCTCCTATGTACCATCTGGATTCTTTGCCTCAGATGTCCTGTTGGAGCTGTTGCCTCTAGAAGCATCTTTCCATGGACTCTGATCACCATCGTGTGTGCCTGGACAGCACCTCCTTTGTGCCTATGCTATGTGATTCTTCCCCCATGCCCAGAGGCTTTCCTGCTAATGCTGAAGTGGCAGACAATGGGGGTCCCCACTGGGTGCATCCCCAGGGCCACGCTTTGACAGTGGACATGGGAGCCAGTTGATCAAAGCTCATCCCCCCCTTCTCCCCTCCTAGACAGATTGTGCTGAGACACAGATGGTCTCACAGGACCGTGCACATTAAGGCAATGGCCAGCTGGCTTCCTCCTAATGGCCATCCTCCTAATGGCTCTCCCACTTCCCTGTCTCATTCTCTCTTCTCCAAACTCTAGCTCTTTGAGATTGCCTGAGGCTCTGCTGTCTGGGAGACTCAGAGAGAGTTGAGAACAGGTGTGACCCCAGAAAACAGACAGAATGTCAGAGCTGGATCACAGCCCAACTGAAGTCTTAAGGACCCCACTATTAGTGACAAGGGGGTGATCACACCTGGCATGCAATGGCATCACCATTGACGCTCTCTACCTGTGGTTAATTTGAATAAGGTGTAAGATGGGGAGGGGAAAGTGAGGCATTTGTTGATGCAGCGGCTGGGGGACTTGGACGCTTAGGGGCAATGATTAGCACAGGCTGTGGATCGTGCTGGCTTTCGGTAATGGCATGGGGAGCCTTAAAAAAGTTAACTCAGGGCAAGCAGCTGGCTGTCAACTCCAGGCATGCTCTGAAAGTGACAAGCGAGAGACTTAGCCTCTTCAAGTACAGGGAACTCTTGGGAAAATCACTTCTGTCAAATTTTGTTTCGTGTATCTGGGAGCTGTGTTATGAAGTGCACTCAAGATTGTTAGATTTTATTTTTCTTTCTGTTTTCTTTTTTTCATTAAAAAAATTCTTTTAATGTTTATTTTTGAAAGAGAGAGAGACAGAGTGCGAGCAGGGGAGGGGCAGAGGTAGAGGGAGACGCAGAATCCGAAGCAGGCTCCAGGCTCTGAACTGTCAGCGCAGAGCCCGACTTAGGGCTCGAACCCAGGAGCCATGAGATCACGACTTGAGCCGAAGTCAGCCGCCTAACCGACTGTGCCACCCAAGTGCCCCAGATTGTTATGTTTTCTTGATGAACTGACCTCTTACTGGAATGAAATGTCCTGCTTGACTTCTTGTAAGTACACTGTCTCTTGAAGTTTACTTTGCCTGTTATTCTTAGGTTCATACCAGCTTGCTGATGCTGGGCGTCTTTGTAGATCTTTCCTCAACCTTTTTCTTTCGACTTGTTTTCATCTTTATGTTTTCAGTGTGTTTTTTTGTAAATGACATATCGTTACGTCTTGCTTTTTTATTGAGTCTGCTAGTCTCTGTTTTTTAAGTGGGCATTTCAGGGATGCCTGGGTGACTCAGTCCATTAAGCGTCCAATTCTTGGTTTCGACTCAGGTCATGATCTTACGGTTTGTGAGTTGGAGCCCTGCATCAGGCACTTTGCTGACAACGCGGAGCAAAGTGCATTGGGATTCTCTGTCTCCCTCTCTCAGCCTTTAACCCACTCGTTCTTTCTCTCTCACAAAATAAATAAATAAATAAATTAGGTGAGCATTTTAAAGATTTGGTTTCAAGTAAGCATTTAGGTAAGGGTTTTTAAAAATTGGTTTTGTTTTATTCTCCCATTATGTAAAAAGTATAAATACATATTTTTACATTCATATTTCCTCCCTTCTTACATAAAATGTAACATACTCTATAAACAGTGTTCCATGCTTTGATTTTTCCTCCTCTGTTAACAATGTATCATGAATACAGACTCAGCAGTTTATAGGTGGCTTCCTCATTTCTTTGTGGAGTTGCAGGGCTTTGTTTTGATGTCCCAATGTCTATTCAACCCATTCTTACTGATGACATTTGGGTCCTGTTTTTCACTGTTACAAATACAGTTGCAAAAACCCAAAAGACTCCACCAAAAAACAAACAAACAAACAAACAAACAAACAAACCCTGCTAGAATTGATGAATGAATTCAGTAAAGTTGCAGGATACAAAATCAGTGCACAAAAATCTGTTGCATTTCTATACACCAATAATAAAGGAGCAGAAAGAGAAATTAAAACATCAATCCCATTTACAATTGCACTGAAAATAAGATAGCTAGGAATCAACCTAACCAAAGAGGTGAAAGACCTGTGCTCTGAAAACTATAAAACACTGATGAAAGAAATTAAAGATGAGGGGCACCTGGGTGGCGCAGTCGGTTAAGTGTCCGACTTCAGCCAGGTCACGATCTCGCGGTCCGTGAGTTCGAGCCCCGCGTCGGGCTCTGGGCTGATGGCTCAGAGCCTGGAGCCTGTTTCCGATTCTGTGTCTCCCTCTCTCTCTGCCCCTCCCCCGTTCATGCTCTGTCTCTCTCTGTCCCAAAAAATAAATTAAAAAAAAAAAATTAAAGATGACACAAAGAAATGAGAAGACATTCCATGCTTGTGGATTGGAAGGACAAATATTGTTAAAATGTCAATACTACCCAAAGCAATCTACAGGTTTAATGGAATCCCTATCAAAATACCAACCACATTTTTCACAAAGCTAGAACAAACAATTCTAAACCTTGTATGGAAGCACAAATGACCTGAATAGCCAAAGCAATCTTGAAAAAACAAAGCAAAGCTGGAAACATCATAATTCTGGACTCAAAGGTATACCAGAAAGCTGTAGTAATCAAAACACTATGGTGCTGGCATAAAAGTAGACACATAGATCAATAGAAAAGAAAAGAAAACCCAGAAATAAATGCACAACTGTATAGTCAATTAATCTTTGACAAACCAGAAAAGAGTATATAATGGGAAAAGACAGGCTCTTCAACAAGTGGTGCTGGGAACACTGGACAGCTACATGGGAAAGAATGAAACTGGACCACTGTCTTACCCCATATGCAAAAATAAACTCAAAATCTGTTAAAGACCTAAATGTGAGACCTGAAACCATAAAAATCCTAGAAGAGAACACAGCCAGTAACTTCTTTGACATTGGCCATAGTAACTTCTTTCAAGATATGTCTCCTGAGGCAAGAGAAACAAAAGCAAAAATAAACTATTGGGACCTCATCAGAATAATCAGCTTCTGCACAGTGAAGGAAACAATCAACAAAACTAAAACATAACCCATGGAATAGGAGAAGATATTTGCACATGACATTTCCGATAAAGGGTTCATATCCAAGATCTATAAAGAACTTATACAACTCAACACATAAAAAATGAATAATCCAATTAAAAACTGAACAGAAGACATGAATAGACATTTTTCCAAAGAATATATATATATATGGCCAACAGACACATGAAAAGATGCTCAATATCATTTATCATGAGGGAAGTACAAGTCAAAACTACAATGAGAAGTCACCTCACACTGTCAGTATGACTAAAATCAACAACACAAGAAACACCAGGTGTTGGTGAGGATGTGAAGAAAGAGGAAACTTCTTGACTGTTGGTGGTAATGCAAACTGGCGTGGCCACTCTGGAGAACAGTATGGAAGTTTCCAAAAAAGATAAAAACAGGACTACTCTATGACCTAGCAATTGCACTACAAGGTATTTACCCAAAGAATACAGAAATGCTAAGTCAAAGGGATACATGCACCCCATTATTTTATTTATAGCAGCATTGTGTACAATAGCCAAATTATGGAAACAGCCCAGGTCTTCGTTGATTGATGAATGGATAAGGAAGATGTGGTGTACATATATGTGTATATCTATATATGTACATATATAAATACACAATGGAATACTACTCGGCCATAAAAAGAAGGAAATCTTGTCATTTGCGGTGCAAGGATGGGACTAGAGACTATTATGCTAAGCAAAATAAGTCGGTCAAAGACAAATCCATATAATTTCACTCATATGTGGAATTTATGAAACAAACGAGCAAAGGGGAAAAAAGAGAAAGCAAGAGAGAGGCAAACCAAGAAACAGATTCTTAAGTACAGAGAACAAACTGATAGTTACCAGACAGGCGGTAGGTGGGGGATGCGTTAAATCAGTGATGGGTTTCAAGGAGTACGGTTGTGAAGAATGGAAGTGTTGAATCACTATATTGTATACCTAAAACTAACATTACCCTGTATGTTAGCGAACTGGAATTTGAATAAAAACTGAAGAAAAAACCCCACCAAATACACTCTTTTCTAGTGAGGGCTTATACCTTTTTAAAATACAGTTGTAGCGAATAGCCTTATGCATGGTTTATCATTCGGTAAATTCGTGGAAGCGGACTTGATGGTCAGAGAACAGGTGCATATGTGATTTTGTTCGGTATTGCTACATATCCCTTCAGAAGGATTACATCCTTTTGCGTCTTGTAGGTGGGGCTTCTCGAATGGAAGGCTTTGTCTCAGGAGGATCAGGAAGACTGCTCTCTATTATCTTGGGCCTCTCAATGCCAGAACACAGAGTTCTTTTCCCTGGAACATTCAATTGCTTTAAGGAGAAGTTGTCTGATTGTTTGCCTGGAGGGAATTTGTATTGCTTCCAGGTGTCTGTGTTCCTACATGTGTGTGTGAGGTATGGTGTCAGGGGTCGGTGGTGGTGAGGTCACTAGCTCCACATATACATCTTCTGAAATTCTCTGTGGCAGCCTCACATGTCACTTCTACCAAGTGTTTCTGAATCTCAAGCCTCTCTGCAGGCCTTCAAGGCAGGCTGAGAGCCTTTCTGAGCGTAATGCCGGCCACGCCACTCTTGGTCGGGACTTCTGTTCGCCTAGTAGTTGTTCTTGTGGGTCCCTCCAGGGGCTACCCATCTTGCAGAATGCTGCTGAAATCTTCTATTTGTGTCCTGCCGCTTATTCTCTTTTCTAGTGAGGGCTTATACCTTTTTTAAAATGAATTAAGGACTGTTTTACGGGTTGGGGCAGGAGAGATCATTTTGGGGTGTGATTCCACCACTTTGATCCGGAAGCGTGCCAGTACCGAAGCAATGACAGGAAAGTGAGGGAAATGGTCAGGAAATGGTCAGGCCTTTCTAATAATGGCTTCTCTGGACTGTATATTAAAGTTCCACTTCATGGTTTTTGAGAAACGTAAATGAAGGAGTTAAGCTTATTTTGAAATCGCTTTTGGTTGCCAGATGGCGTATCTTTGGCTGGGCCACCCTGGTTCTTGATACATAAAGGATTAATGAATAACTGACTTAATTCTGAAAATAGAGCAGATCTTATGCTTAAAATTCGCAACATGCTAAAATATTTGATTCAGCCATTCTGCTTCCTGACATGCATATGAGGCTTTAATTTTATTATAAAGCAATAAAACAAAAAAAACCCTGCAAGGCATCTGCAGAATTCTCTTATGCTCTGGCAATTCACTGGGGCCTCTGCATATGCCATAGGTTTTCCCAGACACCTGGCTTCCTCTAGGACTAAGGGGTGAAATGAATATTTGCCATTATAGACGGTACATACCTCGCTTGCCCAATCAATGGTCTAACTGCCATCTATCTGGGGTCAGCCTTGTATCAGGTACTGTGCTCGGGGCTGGGGATAAGACAATCGCTGTTGTCGGGGGATCTACAGTCTGGTGGAGGAGGAAGGGGAGGTGGGCCAGCAAAGAGACAGTTATAAGATGATGTGATGCGTGCCGTTATAGCAGAATGTAGAGATGAGTCCAGGATTTAATTATCATCGCTAACAATGTTCATTTTTATATATGTTCCCTTTGACAGTGCATATATTAAAGCTGAAGCAATACGGAGAAGATTGGCTAGGTTTCTGAGCAGAGATGGCTTGGAAACTCATGAGGCACTTATATTTTTGTTAGGCAACCTGTTATAGTAGAAATATGTCTGAACTTGGTCTCCGAAGGCCTGGGTTTGATTCCTTTTCCTACCTTTAATTTCTACTAAACAAGTCCCTTAACCCTCTTAGGGCCTCCATTTCCTCATGTTTAAATGCAAGGGGGAGAGAAGAAATGATTGCTGAGGCCCTTCTGTGTCAAACATCTCATGGGGTGAATTCCAGCTACTCTCTGATGTGAAACTAAGAGCCTGGTTTCAATGATTCTATTACAGAGTTGGACCAGATGTGTCTAAATAACCAAAAGGGGTCTTTGTCAGGTGTTCATGGTAGCTTCATGAGGTACCGTGTTGGCAAACAACCTCACCAAGTTTAATGCCAGTGGGGTGATGTTCTTTATTTCTGAAACAAAATGCTGTCTGGAATAAACACGCGGAACAGAGAAAGTGCACAGTCCCAAAAATTCATGGACCAGTTCAGGTTACCAAGTCTAGCAAAGGCTGGAGAACCCATTCCAGGGCTGTTAAACAGCCTGACCACTGGAAATTTGTTGATAGAGGCCCAAACAAGTCTTTAGGGAATCTGGTGCTCAATAAGATTTAGTCACTTGAAAGATAAAATGTACATTTTGGTTTAAGAACGTTTTTAAAAAAAGTGTTTATTTATTTTGAGAGAGAGAGAG